CCCCAAAACCCCAAAACCCCAAAACCCCAAAACCCCTTAGAGCTAGAATCATACAAATTGAGTCATAGTATTATATTTGCCATTGAATATAATTAATACTTTAAAATATATATTACATATACAAGATAAATGAGAATTTAAGTAAGCGAGGCTTTCTGGAAGATTTTTCTACATAATTATGTTCCCGGTAAACCTTGCAATATCAAAAGACAAGTAAATAATCACTTATAAAGGTAGTCTCCAAATCTACTGAAATTATTATTTTGTGTCGACATTTAATATTTTATATAATTTGGTATTGGAAAATGTTTGATTTTTAGAAGAGAGGACATTTTAAGTTAAATTAATAAATAAAATTATTTAATTTAAAGATATTATATTTTGCAATGTCTAAGATCAAGTTTCCCTAGATGGAGAATATTAATTAGTTCAGATAAGTTTTACTTCATTCGCTAAATAAGCTAAGCGACTAATCAACTATAAAATCAGCTATTGATGAAGTTACAGTTCTCATGAAAGATCATGTAATAAATGGGGAAAGATTAAATGTAATTGTATACCATCTCACTGAATTTAATGATACAATGAAAGGATTCTAGAGGTGAGAGTTGATTAAACTAATGGGAGTGGCAGCTGAGATATTTCAAGAGAAACTGATATCATATCTACCAAAGATCATGACTTTTTTCGGAAAAAGGATTAAGGACTCTGACTAGATCTTACATTCCCCAATTTCAGATTCAATAGGCATTTTATCTCATTAGCTACTGAGAAATATTGAAGACCAATAGACTCAACAGGAGTAGGTTGCAGTAATATTTAAGCAAGTATATCTTTCAGTCCTTTAAGCAAATAAAATATAACAGTTATGCGCAGCTTAATGTCTAGGTAAAGTGATTTCAAATGTTCCTGTGGCTTTGATTAAGGGAAGCTTGGGTAAAATTTGTACTAAGATTAGTGAGTTCTTTCAAAATAATGCAATTAAATGCAAAACATAGCTGCTTGAAGTGCTAATAATCCTAGTTAACACTGTAGGAATCGAGATTCACTCCCATGTGCCAACACTGATTTAGCATATTGCCACCTCTATGGAAAATAGTGATTTTAGTACAAGAAAGTAAGCCATTGATCTAGTCCTGAACATTGCTAAAATAAGTCCGTAATCACTCAGACCATATCGCAAGGAGATTAATACAATTTTGAATCAGCTAAGGTTTGATAAAATTAAACCAGTTAGAGAGTCTACAAATGAAGTATTGAATTTATTTAAAGAAATTCCTGAGCTATTTTATGGTGAGGAAGAGAGACTTAGAGAGCAAGAGTAGAAGGAAAAGTAAAAGTTGGATTAATAAAAGAAACAAGAAATTAAGAAAGAAATAGTCAAGAGGAATCCTAAGATCATTCAAAACGAGGACTTGAATGGAACTATAACAATTAATGGAGTAGTTTTTGCTGATAACGGAGGCGGTAAACAAAGCAAAGAGGATAAAGCTCCTTTGATTATAGAAACTAGAGATGATGGGAAAAAGTTGACTTCAGCTACATAAAAGAGAAGAGAAGCTAAGATAAATACTCAAAAGCATAATAAAAGTAAAAATAAAAGTATTTTATTAATCCCTATAGATGATTAAAAAGAATAATAAAAAGAGCATGAAAGTATCTTTAAGAGAAATCAAATTAACAAAGACTTCCTAAAGCAATCTGGGAAAGGAGGTGGAATAGAAATATTTGCACCAGATAGTTTTAAAGATAATTTAAGCGACAATGTAGACAATAACAGTCAAAGAGATTAGCCTCGGATAGTTACTAATCTAGAAGAAATGCCTCATGGAAGAGACACTGCTATGAAGCAAGCTGGATTCCCATAGATGACCACCATTTTTCCAAATGATTAGGCCTTTGATGAGTCTGGACGAAGATCTGGTTTAAATTCTAGATGAAAGATGGTAGGGTAAAGTAAAGATCAACTAGATACCTCTCAAAGATCAATAGAATTGTTGAGAAATAATAATCATATCAGAAGCAATAATCAATATATGGAAATTAACGAGGAATAAGATTATCAAGATTAGGATAGAGAGGAGTAATATGAGGAAAGTATGGCTTAAAATAGAAAAGTAATTAAGCCATATCTAGGTGAAAATCAATCAATTAGAGATTAACAATTTATACCTAAAGGTCCTTAATTAAATCAGCAATAGTAATAGAGTCTCAAGTATATACTATATGAAATTTAGAAAATATCAAACTAGCAAGTTAGAATGGCAGAATAAATGCAAACCTTTCAAAACTTTGCTAGAAATGAACTTGGAGGGTTAAGACAAAGAGTTCATGTAATGGACTAGAAAGTATAGCATGTATAGATGCTTAGAAGTAAGAATATCATTTAAAATAAAACTTAAATAGATCATAATTTTGGAATAAGCCAAAATGCTGGCTAAATAAGTAATGGATATCAGGAAAAGCCTTTTAGTCCATTAAATAAATTTGAATAATCAATAAGATATCCATAGTCTGCTAGACAATTTATTGAGAGTGACATCAGATTGAACAGAAATAGATCTCCAGAGAGTGCAAGAATGAGTATTATAAATAATCAGAGACAGAATCAGGGGTCAGATTGGGATCAAATTAATCAACTAATTTTACAAAATAAGGTGAGAGAAGCCTACTAGATCGCAGTTTAAAAATCAGATGACGACTTGATACTTCTCAAGCTCATGGGAAAGACTGGAATATGCTTCAAAAAGCTCCTAAAGGGTGAAGATGCCAAGAGCAAACAGTTGGTGGAATTCCTCGTCCAAAGAATTATAGCAATACTGACTACAAAAGATTTCGTGAATGTATTACTGCCTTGGATTACTGATCTTAGTGTGATCTTTGTTGACTACAAAGACAATCGAGGCCAATCAGATATAATCTCTTAGACTGTTGTTTCTGATTTAATTGAGGTTTTAATAGCTTTAATGAATGATACTAAAAGTGGCATCGATGATCAATAGAAAAATGAGATTAACAGAATTTACGAGAATTTATCTCAGGCGTTCAGCATTACTGAAAGTAAGGCAGTTGTTTGAAGTGGAATTTTAAGATTATATATTTATTGCAGTTTAAACTTAAATTAATGACTTAACTGAGAGATAATTATTCCAAAATTAATATGAATCCTTTGATATAGATATCGTTTCAAGGAAATCAGAGTTTAGGTTGCTCTCTGAGTTCAATGAAAGCCTTTAGTGCAACGGTCCCTCTTTCCTTAACTTTTGATTAGTAGTAGATGGTGTTACCATTTTTCCACATTTCAACAATTAAATGCTCGCCTGGGAACACATGACCAACAAATTTCGATGCAATCTTCTTGATCATTTTAGGGTCTCCATTACAGAATTTTTCATAAACTACCTTTGCACTCATGCCTTTAGTGCAAAGTCCATGAATGATTGGCGTATCAAAGTTAGCAATCTTTGCTTGGTCAGGGTCAACATGTAAGGGATTATAGTCAGCATTAAGTCTGTAAAGAAAAGCTTATCCTGGCCATATTCTAGTCTCAGCAACTGCAGTGGGTGGTACTTGAGGCTTTTTTGGGTACACTGTTGGTTTAGTTTAACCTTTGAAGCCAAAGCCTCCCATTTCTCTAACAATTGTCTGGCCTGTAATTACTGTATAGACATCTTTATCATTATCAGCAGCTGTAATTGTTGATTGTCCAACTAAGATTGTCATCTTGCCCTTATCTTAGACGTCAATCATCTTTTCTGTTACTTTGTATCTTTTACCAGCTACTATAGGCTTTATAATTTCTACTTCCTCGCCACCGTGAAGGATCATAATGGGATTGAACTTTGGTAGGCCTGGAGTACTCATGAAGGCAGTATAATCTTTATGAGCAATCGTCACTGGCATTGTAGGAAATGTAGTGAAATCTGGGCTTCTTTCGTAAGTAAACTTGTATTCATCTCTCTTAAGTGGATCTTAGTTGAATCCAAGTGACAGAGCATAAAGCATCGCATCTTTTTGAGTCACATCCACTTCATATGAGGTGAAAGTGTGATTTATAAGCTTCTCTGGCTCAACATTTGATATTATTTTTCCTTCTTCTTTCTTTTCCATTCTTTAATTTTTGAGTGACGTATTAATTTATTTACTTACTTCATCGAAACTTCCTTATTAAAACCTGCGGGGTTTTGGGGTTTTGGGGTTTTGGGG